TAATAATATAGCGCATGCTCTCCTTGAGCTCCGAGGAAGTCGGAGTGGAGCAAGAGAGAAAAACAACGGAGGCTGTAGGCTTTGCTTTGCGCAGGAGGTCTGGAACGCAGCGGGGCGGAGCAGAGACGGAGGATGTGGGATTCCAGGGTTAGACACTGTATAACATGCAGTAATTTATAAATGTTTTAAACCGGGGTCCGCTAATCCGTGACCTTTTTTCTTACACGCCTGTCCCGAGTGGGGTCGCGAGGGGTGCTGGTGCCTATCTCCAGCAGTCAATGGGCGAGAGGCGGGGTACAGGACAGGTCTCCAGTCCATCGCAGGGCAACACAGAGACACACAGGACAAACAACCATTCATGCACTCACTCACACCCAAGGACAATTTAGAGAAGCCAATCAACCTAACAGTCATGTTTTTGGACTGTGGAAGGAAGCCAGAGTACCCGGAGAGAACCCACGCATGCTCAGGGAGAACATGCAAACTCCATGCAGAAAGACCCCAGGCCGGGAATCGAACCCAGAACCTTCTTGCTGCAAGGCAGCAGTGCTACCCACTGCGTGCACTAGAGCATATTTACATTAATTTAAAGGTAATCAGAATAAAAATATAGCTTACTGCTAGGTGGATAATTTTGGTAGAACATTTCCTTCTAGGTAAGGTTTAAGGGGATATTTTCTGATGCATTAGAAATAAGCTTGTAATCTTTCAAAACCTCTATCATCCATTACATTACCTCCTGCAAAGTAGTTTTGTTTTATGGACAAATTTAATAGGTTTGTTAATATTCAATTTCATTTAAGTAAATGATTGTGTTCTGGTCCTGTGATTAAATTGATAATCATATATTAAAGACAGAAAATTATGCTTTAAATTGAATCTGAATAAAAAAAGTGAATGTGCAGTTTCCTGTATTTTTCCTGTTTAGTAAAAGTAATTGAACTTTATTGATCTCACATTGGAGAAATGAACCTCTGCATTTGACCCGTCCCCTTAGGGAGCCGTGGGCTGCCACTGTGCGGCGCCCGGAGAGCAGTGTGGTGTTAATGGTCTTGCTCAGAGAGCCAGAGTGGAGTCTGTGGGGATTGAACCGGGTACTTGCAACCCACTAGGCCAACACTCCCCATTATGTCCACAATCTAAACCACTGAGCTGTAGTTCTTGGGTTTTTTGGTTTCTCTCAGGATTTCGTGCAGCTTTCCTGTCACTGCAGAAAACAAGCATTCCCTCAGCATTCTGCTGCCACCATCCCTGTTGGGATAGTTTGTTTGGAGTTTAGGAGAGGAGAAGCTGTTTGGCTTACTTTCAACAACCCTGACACTTCCCTGATTTACAGAGCTTTGTGAGATGTTTAGTGCTTGAATTATTACTTCATACCCTTATGTTGCTTTAAGCTTTCAGCCTCACCTGTCTGCTGTGTTTGTAGTTTTATGCGACAATACAGTTTGTCCACTCATGTTCTCACACAAACCTCTGAAGCTTAAGCAACATTAGGACTAAAAGCAGCTGGATGAACACGAAAGAGACGTGCAAATTTATTGAATGGGAATCTCAGCTTTTATTTTAATTAAAGCTTTTTTCCTTCTCTATCAAATACATAACCTAACCACTGAAAAAAATCTGAAGTCTTAATCCCATCTTCAGATTTTAGTTTGCATTGTCTTCACAGTCCAACAAACTTGCAGTGGTTTCTAATGGCACCAAGCCTCCTGCAAAACCTAACAGCATTAAATGGGTGTATAAAATGGAAGATGGTTCATTTAAACGCTGTCAGAATTAGAGCATTGGAGTTTTATGTGTGACGTATCACTGAGATACGTTATTGTTTTGTGTTAGGCTGCAAATTGTTTTCATCTCTTTGCACTTCTGAATCATAATGCCTAATGGTCATCCTCTGTCGGATCAATCGATCTGTTCATTTACAATGTATTTGCCTGAATGTGCTGCCATAGGCTGAGTTCTTTCAACGTGTCTCTGCAGACTCTTCAGTTTTGCAGTTTGAGGATCCGGACTGCGTGGAGGGAAGCAACCCGCCGTGCGAGTCGGTCTTCTCCCTTAACGCTGAAAAGATCCTGGTGAGCTCCCTGCCGGACACCGATCACACCTGCAACTCTTAGATTAAAAGAGAGAAAAAGAGAAATCAATAACGACACACCCATGAAAAACAAAAAACAAGTCTCTAAGCTACTGTAGTTTAGCTTCTATTCATCCCTCATGACTCATTTAACAAATTCTAGAAATAGCTGGCGCTATTTTAAGCTGCTTCAGGCATGCCTTTATGAAGCTCTTTATCCAAGTTCGATGAACAAGCTGATAATAATTTGTTGATCTTAGATTATTCTATGTCATTGGGTTTGGTCCTTTGAAACGAGCTTAACCCATTTTTATAAATAGATGGGATTAATTAAGGTTATAAGTGTTTCATTCTTCAGACATTTTCCCTTCAGTTTTTTAACATACAGCACCATTACATCATTAAATACTTCCATACATAATAAAGAAAAAACAAAACAAAAATAACAATGGCAATATAAAAAAGTGATATATATAATTATAAAAAGTATATAAATAAATAGAAATAACAATACTAATTACAATAATGGAGGAGGTGGTTTAGTCGTAGTTCTGTCCAAAACTCCTTTATATTTTACCATCGGAAGTGAAAATTCCATATATTTAATAGTTAGCACTGTTATCTTCCTCAAAATATTTTTCCATTCTGATTTAAAACAAAATAGCTAATTTGAATAAATTAATTTCTTTATGGATTACTCATAAATGTTTAGTCTTTGCCTCATCATGCTGTTCTCACCCTGACCACTTTAATTGCATTTCAATAAGTTGAAAAACATTCAGAACTTGACAATAGTGGAATGGAGATGCTGTAATTTATGTCCAAACTTTAGCATTACTGTTACTGATAATCTTTGCATTTGAAGTTAGCTGAAATTCTTTAGTGGGTCAATTTTATTATTTTTTTTCTTTGATGAAGCTCCCCTTCAAAAAAAAGTTAACTGATTTTTTTAATTTTATTTCAGCTTAATATGGTAAAAAAAA